GAATATTATGGAAGAATTGATGAATTAAGTTGTTGAAGAAGGAGCAATTGTTGTTCTTCTTGGCTGTTTGTCTGTTTGTGCTTTTGTTTTGATGATTTCTTCTGGTTTACTTTACCTCAAACTAATTATTTAATGCCTAAATTAATTTTTTTTTGATTGAACATTTACTAACAATAATTTCATCGCAGAAATTTTTATAAAAAAATTAGTAACAATTGTTAGCACAAACAAAATTTGGTTGTTTTAGGATTGAAGTAATCAATAAGATATGATATTGATTATGTGTTAGTTTCGAGATGATATATGCAATGGTGCCATTGATGTTCGAGGCAATTATAATAACTTTTAATATATTGTTGTTTTATCGAATCATACCATTTTTTAGATTGTTTTTGAAATTGCTATGAAATATAATTCGTTTTTTAATATCGTAAAAGTTTTACAATTTAAAGGATTATTAATGATTGCTGTGAAAAAGTTTTGATTATGATCAGCATTATTTATTAGCAATCATTCAACTTCTGAAAGCTCCGATTGGATGGGTGTTAATTTCAACCACTATTATAATCCACTGTTTAACATCATCAGATGAGAAATTATCGTTTCTTTGCAATCATTATCACATCACTAAAATTTCATCTTCCAAATCTAAATCTAATTTTGAAAATCGCATTTTCAATGTTCTTTTTTGTTCATTTTATTCATTCCATCTTTTTTAGCGCTCACTATTGATGATGATTGAGCAGGAAAATTTCCATTTGTGCCTTTCAACCCCACCTTTGATGTTTACCGCCGATATCATTTTATCAGTTCCTTTTTTATCACCTTTAAACTGTAGGCCTCACTGAAAAATACTTTTTGATGATAATGATCATGATAGCATTTAATGAAAATAGCATTAAAGCTTTATAATCTAAAGCTATGTCGATTTACTTTTAATGTAACAAGAGATCATTGTTGATACCATTTCTTTTGATCATTTCTCAGAACTGTTTGCTAAAAGTACCGCAATCCAATTTCTTTTTTCCCTTCTCTCTTTTAACTCTATTGGAAATTGAAAATTTCTAATTTATGTTTATTAATTATTAACAATAGGAGCACTCATAGAGCCAGCGAAAATTATCCAATAATTTTTAATAACTTCTTTTCATATCATTCATCAGTTGCCTTTTTTTCGTTCCCATTTATTGAAATATTTTTATTAAAGATAATATTATAACCAAAAAATAACAAAAAAAAAATGCTTTGCCACCATCATCTCATCATTTCATTCGAAAAATTTTCTCCAAATTATTTTTGCTATCTTCAAAAAAGTCGCCGCCGATAGTTGATGTATGTTGGTTTGGAGTGTTTTATTGTTTACAGTTTTGATGGAAGCTCGTAAATTGTCTCCCTTAAATGTATCCCAGAGCCAATTCATTTAGTATGATGAAGCATTTAAGAATGAAAAAATAGAAGGAAGAAGAAGTAAAAATAATTCGATGAATAGAACAGAATGCCCTTTACCCCTTTTTAATCGCAGGCACAATTTCAATGATCACCAATTATCAATTATAAAATTTCGTATTTAATGCAATCATTAAAAGCTATTTTTAGCATAAATATTCTCTCAATTCTTGGCTTATAATTAAATTTTATAGCAAGTAATTAACAAGCAAACATTTTAAACAATTCTTTTTTTACTTTATTATTCTATTTTATTATAGATTAGCACAAACATTACTTAGTGCTTTAATTTATTCAGCGAATACATCCTATTGTTGGCTGATGCTTTTTTCCCGGGACATTTGTGCAAAATTAAAAGTGAAAAGGTTTAATGAAGATGAATGAATGCTTTCATGCCACTATTAAAATCTGTAATATGTGCGAAACGCTATGATTCATAAAATTATTGAAAGAATAGAACTTTCATTTCATCACAAATTTTCTTTTCAACTTTTCAGTTCGACTATTTGCTTCAATAATACGGAAATTTTCGTTCAATAAAAAGAAACGCTTTTTTTAGAAATAATACGGATAGAGAGAGTATAAAGAATGGTAAACTAATCATTCCTCTCTCCCTCCCTCTCATTCCTTTCATCCATTCCGGATACATTTGAAAAACACAATCCCTTTCTACCGTGAAGGTCGATTAGCCAACCTGTTGATCATTTATTAGGGAGAATGAAAATGATAGAATAGAAAGGAAGATTTCGTTTCGCTTCTCTTTCATTAATAAAGTAACGCCGCTGATTTACAGATAATTTATATGATCACATTGCTTTTATGCTTTTTAACGCTTTTGTTTTACAAATAGCAACGAGATGGTATTACAGAAAATGTCAAAGCGCGGTTGAATTGTTAATGATCGCCTATCAGCTCATACATTTTCATATCATAATGATTTTTGGATTCTTTAAGAATTAGCATTAATGATAGGTAAATATATAACATATAGCAATATTGTACATAGCAAAATTATTATTAGGCTATCTTTTCAACCTGATCAAATCTCTGAGGTCGATCAATAAATTTATACTTTTAGTGCCATGAACTTTTTAGTAACTTTCAAAATTAAATATTGCTTTCATTTTCCTCCTTCGTTTACTATAACATGTAGTTAATTGCATTGTATCATATCGTCATTTAATTATAGCATATTTAAGGAGAAGAAAGTGCTAATTAAGAAAAAAAAGCAGACACAATAATACACAACAGTGTAGCCTGTTTGTATTTAACAGTAAAGATATTGAATTTTATTCATAAGCAATTTCTTTTACAGCTGAAAATTCAAAATCCTTCAATAATTTCGAAACTTATAAAAAGACCACACATATATTATCAATTAATCTCAGAAATTTGATATTTACTAAAATTGGAAAGTAATCTCGGGATAAGTTTTTTTCATGAAAATCATTATTCTATATTTATAAGCTACCATATAAAAAAGCGAGCCAATTCTTAATAAGCAAGTTAAAGACGAATAAATTTAAAAACTGTTATGGTAATAGAAACCCACAAACTGACAGATAATCATACCTTTTTGTGATCCAACTGAACAACACGTTAATTTTCACGTTTTTCCTAGCATTCATATCATCTTATCGTAACTTTGTAACTTCCACTTTATCCTCACAAACCATTCATTTCACTTAATTTATTAATTATACAGCAATTGCTAAGTAAATATGTTTCGAAATGTTGTCCTCATTTATGGTGCTCCTGCAAGCGGAATTTGTTTTTGACACCTTTTGGATTTGACCATAAGCATTATGCATCAGCTTCGGCTGTTGCTTTCATATCTGTAATTGACGTCTGATTTTGAGAACTGCCAAACTTTTGACTGACGTCTGTAGTCGCTGAAATGAGAGAGGAAGTACCTATAAATATACATTCAATATTATTTCAAAATTTCTGCTTTGCTCGTTTCCTTTCCCGTTGTTATTAAAATTTTTTAGCTTAGGTTTTCATAGATGTCCGATTTTTTTTAAAACCACCGTTTTTCAATTATCATACAGAATATAACTGTAAAAATTTTAATCACTGCGAGTGATTAATTTCTGATAAATTTGAGCTCAATTAAATTACTAATACATTTAAAGGCATGTGTGGAAGGCGAAATACATTTAAAAATTTTCAAGTTTGTCTCTCGATGCCACACTATAATAATGATTTAATTTATACCTTATCTCTATTCATATACTTTAAATGGCGGGGTCAATTATAGAATGTATTAAATTTTGTAGTATATCAAAATCCAATTTTAGATATTTTTACATACAATTTTAGATAACAAACTTCTCGATTCAAACTGATATTAAATTTAGCTTTCTAGCAATCAGAATTATAAATTATTAGGAATGTTGATAGATTTTTGTTATACTTCAACAATACTTTTTTTTTTCAATTTTATCAAGAGACTGCTCATTCATAGCTCAGGTATTTGGCTAATATCTTCCTTCCAGAATCTTGTTGATTGACAACCTTTCCTGTTTAAAATTACTTTAACTGACATTCAAGTCGTTTACTTGTTGATGAATTGAATGATTGCATTCTCCTATTTCATATCCAACCGATAGATATGCTATCCTTCTTATCTCATATCCTTTCATTTTACATATTCTTTAAAATAGACCTGTCTTATTGTAAGGATGCATTTTTTTTTGTTCATCACTGATACGTTTATAACTTTCACTCATCTTTTTTCTTTTTCAATTTAAATCTTTTTTTTCTTGGGTTTAGTTAATATTTTATTTAAATCATTTCTTCATATATTCATTAAATTTAATTATTTCTTCCGATAGTTTGTACACAAAGCATTCTCTTTTCATACTGGTGCTCTATATGCTTTTATAAAAACTTTCCGGAAGAAGAGAGAATCTGAATTGGAGAAAGTTGCAAGAAAGATTAAAAAAGTGGGATGAGACTGAAACTGATGGCATATAATATTCTAAACTGAAACATTCTAATTATATTCCAATACATTACTCAATTTCCTGCATTTTTCCGCTTCTTCAGTTTTTCGGTTTACTTTCGAAATTTTTGAATCAAACGCATCAACTGCCATTTTTATATTTCCGGGTCACTTCTCTGGTTAACAACATTCCGGCTTTTGGTGTCCTCCCCCGTAATCCTCTTCTAGTACACTTGTTATCGACGCATTGCACCTAATCTTTCTCTCTCCCTCCCTCCCTCTTCATCTCTTATAACAATCAAACACCTGCTGTCACACAATTGAACAATAAATGACATCTTTCCAGTCATATGCTTTCATCTGAGCCTTTACCTTTTTTTCAGGAATTTTAATTTCCTGAATAAATTTTTCATCCATTTTAGGAAAATATTTATTGAAATTTAGTTATTAAATTTAGAATATTTCAGAAATGATAATTGGTTCGAAATTTAAGTGAATAAGCCGAACAAACAATAAAGCTTGATTGTTTTCACTGAACGATAAATTTGTTTGAGGAAGAATGAAAATATGCAGCATTGAAGAATTAGCAGAATCTTTTGTATTTCAGATGAATTCAGAAGCATCCGGAATTCCATCGACATCATTAGAATTCACGAAAATGAAGAATTCAAACTCAACTGCAAATATCGCTTATAATACACAATTAGCAAGTCTTCCAGAATCCGTAATTCATCGAGTATTCTCATATTTAAGCCATCCGGAATTACTCCAAGCCCAACGGGTTAATAAGCAATTTTACAGATTGATCAAACGAAATGTCCACTTATTATGTCGACCGAAGGTAATGGAAATGGGGTAAGCATTGAGATTCCATACTTTGAAAAGTTTTTGCCCATGAAACCTGGAAAAGATAAACTAATTATAGCAAGCTTTTGCTTATTTTTCTTCCCACCTTATTTTCATCCTCAAATTTCCAAACACTTAATTTCATGAGGATATTTGTTCACGAAATTCTTCTTTTTTTGGTATCAATTTGACGTTCTCAGTGATATGACTAATTTGAATTTGGTTCGATTTGACTCGGCTACCGATGTTTATATTTAAGTAATGGGATATTTTAAGAATTAGCATGTGTGGTTGTGAAAAACGAGCTCGACCATTTGGACGATTGCAAACATCGTTAATGCTGAAAGCGAACAGAAGAAGACGATTATTTGTGAGATTCACCAGGAAGGCATCTTCCGTCGTGAAATATCGAGAATTATATAAGGATGAGGATTATACTGGTGGTCAGTATATATTGTTACAAGGAGAAGAGGATTGAAATTTTTGTTAAAACTGCCAATTATATTCATTCAATTGATATAATAGATTTTGGTTTCATTAAAATGCTACAACAATTTTAAAAAAGTTTAAAAAAGAACTATGCATTAAATTTTGTAAAAAATGCAAGATAAATTATTAGTAATATTAATAAGATAATGTAATTGCTGAACTATGAAACTTTTCACAGATCGTAACGATTTATCAGAAAATTTGCTAAATTATTTGGATCAACAATTCAAGGAAGCAAATATTCATGGCGTACTTTCATTCTCGGGTATTGCTATCACTACTGATCTTTATAACAGTTTGTGCAAAAGTTGGGTCAGAATTGAGTAAGTACATATTCAATTCAATGATTTTATGTAATTTAATAAAGGTGAATGGTTTCAGCTATTTTAATAACAATGCAACAAATCGAGTCATCTAATCATATCATCCGATTATGATATCAGTATTTTGCTTTGTATGAATAAAATTTAAAATGCTATTAAAAACTTTAAAAACTTAGATGAAAAGAAGATATTCTGGAAATTTTTTCACTTAAAAAAATATACATTTCTTTTACTCTGAAAATTTTAAAATTATATTAAAAATTCTGTTGTAAAAATTTCTTGCAAACTTTAAATTTAAATCTTTCATTTATTTGAAGTTGCTTTCTTCCACATTTTATTTCATCAATTATTTTTAAAAATTATTTGAGAATAATATATTAAATGATGAATGAAAATTCAAATTAGATCTCATTGTGTATGTGTTTCTTCTTTTTCTGAATGAAATGGAAAAATTATATGAGAATGAAGCAGAAATGAAAAAAACAATCAATTAAAAAGTAAATTAGAAAATTGGGTAAAAATACTTTGAAAATACAGGGAATTCAAATTAGGTCATATTGTGAAATAATTAAACAAATAGTGAAGTAATTAAACAAATAGTGAATCGCCTCAGCTCGACATAATGCTTTTTGCAGATATTTTTCTAAAGTAACAGCATATGAGAAATTTGTTTTGTAAATTTAGAATGCATCGAAAATAACACAATAAAATAGACGCTTCTGGCCTATCGTGATTTCGAGCTCGAAATGGATGCTTCTGGTCCATCGTGTTCTCGAACTTCTGGTCTATCGCGGTTGCGAGATAGACCAGAAGTGGATATGTCAAATAGCAAAATTAGATCATGCTGATTTTGGTTCTCCTAACAGTTCATTTTTCGGGTGGCAGAGACCACATGCAGTTGTACTGATGTGTAAATGAATAGGTGATACTTAATCACTGAATGAAGTGATCCTTATTTTACAGCTGTTTGAAAGCAATAGAAAATTTAAGTGCTCTAAATATTTCTTGAAAGTCTTTCAAAATAAAAAATCTTTCTAAAATTCAAAAAAGAATTTTATTTTTTTCTTTCTCCCCTCACCTCTCTCTCTTTTTCCTTCTCTCTACTCTCAACCAATAATACAATTGATGCAAGGGAAAAAAATGAAATTTCATCCAAAATGTGTAGGAATAAATTGAATGTGACGCATTTTCTTCACTTCGCAAACTGAAACTTACATAAAATTATAAGTATCTTTTGGTACATTTCACATAATTTTGACTAATTAAATTTGAAAAATACATTTTTGAAAAGTTTCCTCTGTTGAATTTCAGCAATGCTACACGTTTAGTATTCACGTTATGTCGTTTTCGGTTATCATCAAAGTATTTCTGTAAATTATTGATGCGTACAAATTGTCAACAATTGAACATCGAACTTTCTCATTTCGAACAATGCCTTATTGATGATTTGGTTAGTGATAAGTTTGATTAGATCTCAAATGATACTAAAATGCCTTAATTTAAATAAAAAATTCTTAAATCGTTGTGATTAAATCAGATATTTTTGCACTTATCATATGCTATAAGCTATTTAGTTAATTTTCTTCAAGGTTTTGGAAGCAATGCCAGAATGTCGAGAATTGATTCTGAGCAGTGCAACTCCAATATATTTCGCCTGTTTTACTGATAGTTCGTTGCATCGATGGGCTGTTCAGGAAAAGTTACCCAAAAAGATTCTTCTTCGCAATATTCGGGCTAATTTTACATTTGATGGGGTTATAACTTTAATTAATGTATGTTATTCCAAAGTTCCAACGTTCAAATTTTTTTTTAAAAAAACATTAAACTTATTTCTAGCATATTTCCGCCCCTGATAGTGATTAACAGTTCATTGTTGTTTCCAGAAAAATTTCGGATTGGACGATAATTAATCTTAAAATAACAACAAAATGTAATTAAAATGATTTTGAAAGAATGGAAATTATTCAATTCAATCTTGTTTCCTTCCAGGCATTACAAATTCGGCATCCGGAATTATTTTCCGATACATTTCAACCCACGATATCTGTTGCTTGCTGCAGAAAGACAGTATATGATTGGGATTTTGGTTGTATAGTATTACCGGAACAGAATCAAGGAAACGGAATTGTCGAACTGTTGAGCACACCGGGTGTGGTGACGCACGTTTCCCGTTCGTGTAATCTTGCAAACGCAATTGATGTTACCATTAATTCCAAAGATTTTTATTTAAGTACAACAAAATGTCAAGTTTCGATTAGGTTTCAACTTATTATTTCTTCACAAAAAGATTTATGAATTCTTGGATGGGTAAAGTTTTCTGAAGTTTTCAAAAGAAATTACGAAAGCAAACATTGAAAATGGAATTCTTTATGAGAGATCTGTTAGACAAATTAGCTCTCGTTATTTTTGATAAATTAATTTGTATTATTTCAAAACAATCATGTTTCTGAGTAAAAAAACAAAAAAAAGGAGAAGCGCATTTGTCGTTCAGCTTTGAACAGAATTAATTGTTATTTGTTCTTAAAAATTTAGGTGAATTTTTTCTAGATTGGGTAAATTTTCTATGATTTTCTTCATTTATTGATGATTGGATTTGGAAAATTTTCATCGAATGCAATTTTTTATTCTGTGAAATTAAAAGTAAACTTAATTAAAGTAATTACCAAAAGAGTTTTATAGATTAGAGTGATAATTCAATAATCTCCGTTTTTCACAATATTTTTCTTTCCTGTGATGATCAACAATGTGTTTGAATTTAAACAGATATAAAATCATTTTAAATGTTATATTTTCCAGGACAAATGTAATTTATTTAAATTAGTGAGTAACTGCGTGGGATAAAGCGCAATAAGATCACAAATTGATCTTATGCAATATCGCAACGATTCTTTTGCAAAATTACATTATTTGCAAAAATTTCCTAATAGATAGATCATCTCAATTAATTTACTGTTTGTCATTAATTTAATGACTTAAATTCAACACTGTTTACAGTAGATCTAAAATGATAGAAACTAAGTCAGATTTATTGCAGTTCACTATCAACAGTCAGATAATAATGCAAAAATAAAATGAATTTCTAAAATATATTAAATTTAAATTAGATAAAAATTTAATATATGACATTAACTTTGTTTCAAAAAAAGGAAGCATTCACTGGATGATAATTTGAACTGATACACTTCCATTTTTTTATACGTTTTCTTCAACGTATTATTTTTTTTTTGATTTGATAATTTGGAAAAAATAAAAGAAATGATTCATTTAACGCACAGTAGTGATTAGATGTTACACTACTAAAATATATCAAATTACTATCATATCTGAGTAATTAACTTTAGACATGCAGTGATAGCAATGTTACCTGTAAATTAATTTTTTTTTCATTTGCAACCAATTTAATGATTGATAGAATAGCGAGGAGTGGAAGTTTGATTTTGACAGTCTAATGAAATAACGATAAGTTCTCGTCAAAATGGAAAGAAGGAATGATGAGATTGCAGGAAAGTGGCAAGTGATGATTGATAGAATGACAAAGTATGGATCTGAATTTAACAACTTAATAAACTAAAAAATATATTCTCGTCAAAATAGAGAAAAAAAGATGAATAAGAAGGAAAAGTTGACATCAAATATTGCTGTGTTCTCAGTAATCTTTAATGATTTCCATGCATAGAAAAATACAAAATTAATCTATTCGTTTGTCTTTCGACAATTCCACACATTTCCATTCATTTCAATCATTTTAATATGAAACAACAATCAATCATCGTTTTGTGATATAATATTCAAATAAAAATTGTTGCAATTGTTGATGAATCATAGAAATATTGAGAATGCTCGGGTAGTTATAATATATAATCGATCTTACAAAAATCTATGAATATTGCCTGTTCTTATAGAAATTAAAATCCTATCATTGGAAATTCATCGAAAAAAAAGAGAAGTGTAAATGCATCGAATCAGGCCAATTACTCATGCAGAAAGATTAGAGCAAAGTTCATTACTTGCAATCTTCCCATAACTCTGTGGAGGAAATTATCTTATGTGAACTTCAAAATTGTCAAATTAGTCTGAATTATATTCCTGAATATAATTCTAAACATCCACACGATATTTCATTGATTGATTTTGAAATTCTAATATGTCAGGTTTGGAATATTTATTTGAATCTCAACAAATAAATTAGTGACAAGCAACAATGATTTTATTTGGTTTTCATAATAAAAATAACTGAAATAATATTTTCATCAGAAATTTTAAGTATTTAATAATTATAGAATTAATCCGACGATAATTGTAATATTTTTGCAGAATAGACCCAAAACTTTTAGTATAATTAGTTAAAATTTTGAATCCTTTTTTTTGTGCAAATGAAGGAGAGTGAGAGATCGTTTAATGATTTGAAATTTTAAACAATTTAAAAAAAAAATTAAGAAGTTCAATCGGTAAAATTTTGCTGAAATTAATTGTAATTCGTGATTGCTATACTTTATGATTACCAAACGAGGAAATTTGTCCTCTCCATTGATTTATTCGGTTCGAACTCCTTCCATCGTTTTCCTCTTCTCTCGAGATATTCAGCTATGCTTCAGATTCCACAATAGAAGAGTTAATTTTCTGAAAGAAATGGAATGAAAGGAATTGAGGAGAAAAATTAGTTAGTTGGAAGGGGAATGAAAAATCCGACGGCGTCAGATAATTTGAGGGATAATGTGGAAATAGTTTGGAATGTGATGAGGGTATGCTAACGCTGCAGACGAACAGAGTGAAAGACGTGACTTCGAGTTAGAGATGGAAGAGTAGTTGAGTTGAGATATATCGATCGAGATTGATCGGCGGTCGGTGGTTGCTCAGCGATTAGTTCTGGTCACATCAGAGAGGACTCAAAGACCGTCTGAATCGATAATAATTTCTTACATAAGTCTGATAGGCAGCAAGCTGCTATGTGAGTAACAGATGAGTAAGCTGGGAGTAGTTTCAATCAGTAAATATAAACATGGATTTCGATACTTTCTCCGAGGGATTTGAAAGAGAATTGGTTTTTGGCCAAAAAAATGCTTTATGCACTTTGCGCTTTGAAAGACCAATAAATGATCACATTATTCTCCGTAATCTGATCTGCTCGTTATCATCATTGTACCATCATTAGGAATGAGATTCCAACTATTGAAATGGTATCATATTGCTTTTCAGATCAAAATATGGCAAAACTACTGAACAACGAGGAGGAGTTCAATCAGTTCGTCAAAACAACAGAGTTTGTTCCTTCATTCATTTTTCAGTA